TATTTACCATGGAACAGAGTAGAAGCATTACAAATTAGTTGTACATTTGAATATGTTGTGAGAGTATCCGGAAATAAATGGTTTCTGAATTGTTTGAAGCAGGCACAACTTTGAAACATTGTGGTCCATTATTTTATATGTGAAAGGGATTGTCTAGCATGTTGGTTGATTGAATATGTGCATCATTTGGCTTGTTTGCTGTTAAGGGAGTTAGTGTCTCTCTGCCAAAGATCATTGATTTGTTTGATGGGAGTGTTAATTTTCAAATAAAATGTTGATACACATCCTTTTGTGTATAACATGTAAGTCCGCTGTATCTTTTACTTGAAATATTCTAGGAATGTTGAGTTCACAGTCAGCAGTTGGGATGCAACAGCTCAAAATAAGATAAAAATGGTTATTAAAGTGCTTGGTATTTTTATTTCTACCTGTGCTTGATGCACATACAAAATTTTCATCGACATTTTCTTCATCATGCCTCAATTCAAAATCAGGTTTACCTGATAGTGATTACCATATTTTCATTGACATTTTCTTAAGTTTTCCATATGACTGAAGAAGTTTTAAAATTTTTGTTTGAAACTTGAATTAGGGGGTATCGATTGTCAATTTGTAAATTCTCACTGTTATTAATTTTACTTTGATGCTTCCTCAGGTATGAACAGCCACCACCATGTGCCATTTGTTCAAGTGTGCTGTCAATTGTATTAACAGCACCTTGAATTTATCTCTTTGGTTTCTTCTATAACTTACCAAATTAACATGGTCTCATCAGAGGAAGTTTCTCCCAAAGAATTGCAGAAAAGACAGAGCCTAGATGGTGGGACTGACACTGCACAACAGACCCGTGGCAGTGGAGGTGATGCTTCACAACAAGAAGGAATTCCTCCTTCAAATGCCCCTGAGAAACCTTTGGAGAATACTGGGGGGCGTATATTGCAGTTGGACAAAGAAGGAAGTGTTTCTTCTTTAACACCACGGAAATTGTCACATACCCCTGGCAGTGATCTCCATTCCTTGCAATCTGGTCAGGAAAGATGGAGTCCTTCTATCATGCGGGAAAAAGTGTCAGAGGATGGATATCGCTGGCGAAAATATGGGCAGAAACTTGTTAGAGGAAATGAATTTATACGGAGCTATTACAAATGTACACATCCAAGTTGTCAAGTGAAAAAGCAATTGGAGTGCTCACATGATGGGAAGCTTGCTGATATCGTTTACATTGGTGAGCATGAGCATCCCAAACCTCAACTTAACCTCCCAAAAGCAGTTGGTTGCGACCTGTCCATTGTTGAAGAAAAACCTGATAATCTTTTACTGACTGCTGTTGAAGGTAACAGGGAAAAATCACCATATTGTTCATTTTTTGCTCTTAACTAACTAGTAATCATTATTGTGTTGTCTTATGTTTTCACTAATTGATAAATGAAGAAAGTCAGGCACCTAATCCGATTGAGCCAACAACTACCTCTCAGATTTCTACTGTTACATCCAGCGAGTATGTGAAGCGTGTGCTATCAGAACCAAATAGGATAAGGGATGAGATTGATGATGATCAACGCTCAAAACAACGGTAATTTAATCAAATGTCTGTAAATTGATATTACTCTATTGTTTCAAGCACGAAAAATTATTAAAATGGCTGTAAATTTATTTTACTCTATTGTTTCACGTGTGATCTATCTCTTTTGTTTCAAATGAACACTACAGGAAGAAACGTAACTGTAATGATGATTCTACCCCTTTAGATAAGCCAACTGGTGAGCCACATCTTGTCATTCAAACAAAATGCGAGGTTGACACTGTCAATGATGGGTATCGTTGGCGTAAATATGGGCAGAAATTGGTTAAAGGCAATCCAAATCCCAGGTAACTGCCAAATTTAATGAACTCAACAAGGTTAGACCTTGGTTTATACATGTTTAGTTTACATCTCATCCCTCTGGTTGTGAATACAAGTCAGGCGATGCCTGCTTATATTGGTAGGACAATGGCGAGATTGTGATTTCTTTATGTGGAGACCAAAGTACTCGGATTACATGCTGACTTTGATCTACCCTCCATTATGTAGGAGCTACTACAGGTGTTCCAGTCTCGGATGTCCAGTTAAGAAACACGTAGAGAGGGCATATCATGACCCAAAATTAGTTATAACCAGCTATGAGGGACAACATGATCACGATATGCCTCCTTCGAGGACTGTTCCTCAAAACACAACTGGTCTCAACACTTGTACAACTACCATCCAGAATGGCGTGTCAGGTGCAAAATCAGGAGAAAGTGATGCCATCTCCCATTTCCCATGACATGGTTGCTTATAATAGTGCGGATTCCAACATCAAATCGGAGGAGAAAATGAATTCTGAGTTGAGAAATCTATGGAAAGAAAGCGTTTCAGGCCATGAAAGTGAATCAAGGGAGCAGAAAAATGGCTAGTCATGTGCCACGAAAGCAACTGATATTGTTTTCAATGCCAATCCTGTGTCAGCAGGTAGATCAACGGAGCAACATGCTGGCGAGTCAAGAACTGAATCAAAAGAGGAAAGTGCTGCTTGCGGTGTTCGTACCATCACTCCAGGTCCAGAGAGTAGTCCAAATGAACAGCACACGCTAAATTCAGAGCCTGCCCTAAGCTAATTGAAACAGATTGACTTTTAGAATCGAGGGAAACGAAGTCCAGCTCTATAAATCAGTCCTTATAGGTCAATTTATCATTAAATATAACAGGAAGTATCGGATATGTGACAGCTTTGATGTAAAAGCATTTGAACAAGGTAAAAAGATGTTCCAAACGCGAGTTACAATTCCTGGAAGCTAGTTTGGTACGTCCTGTATCTGCATTCCGTACATTTTAGTTCAGGCACTGACCACTGTCCTTACTCCTTGCAAGAAACGCTTGTCTTCGAACTGTCAAATTAATAGCTTTTGCTGTAAAGCCCATATCTCATTCGAAGCAGGCCTCATGTCTGTAAACTGACAGACAGCAAGTCGTCTTCTTTTTTTGAGCTCAACATAACAAGCGTTTCAGACCACAGATATCTCGGTAGAAGCAAAGTGCTGCTTACGAACCCAATCAGGACAATTTCGAGGAAGGGGCTGGTTCTGACAGCCTTAGCTATCCAATCTGCAACACGCTACTACTGTAACTATAACGTTAGGCATGCTATCAAGCTGGCGCTTTATATCTTCGACAATAGGACATAGGCAATAGAGGTGGAATCTTGATGGCTAATGCTTCTCCTTGCGCTATTGACCTGCACTTGCAAACAAGACCTCTACCATTCAAAACTGTTCCAATGGAATCCCTGCATGCAATGCCAGTTCTTGTAACATTTAACAAATCACAATTCAATTTCTGTTAGCGTTGTGCAGGTCTTGTCTTTCATGTCAGTGATCGAGAATCATATGAAAAAAATTCCAGCATTTCATTAGGAAACTGGTATGGGCAGAGGCTAAGAGGATGAAACCTTAGAATGGTTCCCCCAAGGCCAGGAAAAGCAAAAAAGTTCAAAGCACTGAGCTGCTGGTTCCAAAGAACTGGTTAACTTTATGAGTTGTAAAAGCGAAGTACAAAGCTGAGGCCACTGCCTTCCTCTTCAAACCATTTAAAGCTAACGACCAAAAAAAAAAACAAAAAGGAAGAAAGAAAAGAGAAAAAAGAGGAAAACCTATAGATTCTACCTCAGCTGGTTGCAGGCTTTCCTAAATGAGAAAAATAGAATCAGCATGCATCACTTCCATGCACAAGATGCCACCAGATCCTTCTTCATCCAGCCTAGATAAAGAGCCCCATCTCTTTCTTGAAGCCTATTGTAACATGTGGGGTCAAGAAGTTATTATCTGGTAGTTTGATTTAGCATCATTAGAAAATTTAAGTGAATTGATTTTATTTAAAATTTTAGGGTAAAATACTGGCTATAGCAAAGAAGATATTATCATTTTTAACGCGCTTTATTTTAGATAAATTGTATTATATGATCTAAATATGATTTAAAGATGTTGATGAGTTTATAGCTAGTGATCTGTCTATAACTCAGAATAAAAATTTACATTTACGAATATACGTGGTATTTCAAATTTATTATAAATTAGTACTTATGTAAAATCTTGTTTAATATTGTACTTTAACTGCACTTCTGAAATTTTTTTTAATGTTTTTTAGTTTTAAATTAATATTTTTAGTTTTTTTCTAATATTAAAAATAAAAAATTATTATTTTAATATATTAAAAAAAAAACATTTTAAAAAACAACATTTACCACTCTTAAGCCTTCTTGTTTTTAAAGGGTATTTAAAAATGTAATAACAATTACTTTTCAAAATATTTTTTACTTGAAAATATATCAAAATAATATTTTTTTTACAATAATATAAAAACATAAAAAAATTAATTTAAAGTAAAAAAATAAAAAAATTTAATTTTTTTTAAAATACTTTTAAAATACAAAACAAACACCTTGTAAATTGTAGTTTGTGCTTTAAAAAAGATTATATCTAACAAAAAAAATAAAATTAAACCTCACTTCATCATGCCTCATTCTTAAACACGTATTTGCCTCATTCTTAAACAAGTGTTTGAGAATATAGTTATGATCATTTTTTAAAATACTTTTCACTCGGAAATATATTCAAATAACTTTTTATTATTTTTATAAAATTATTTTTGATATTAACATATTAAAATGATCTAAAAACACTAAAAAACTATTAATTTGAAGAAAAAAAATTAAAAATTTTAATGTTTTTAAAAAATACATTTAAAACATAAAAACAAACAAAAAATATTTATATTGGTAATGAACAAGCTGATTAATTGTGTATTTAAGAGTGTGACGTGGTTGGGTAACTTAATTTTTTTTATATACAGCCTATTTATTGCACAAAACACCACCATAGAAACAAGTTTTACATGCTTATTTTTTTTTTTTTTTTGTATTGATTCCACGTAAAAAAGCTACCATGAATAGTCACACCACTCCCAATCACACCCAAAAAACCACAACATTCAAATGAATCCAAACAGCATTTCATTCGCACTTGTTCAACGAGAGTAACGTTTCTAAACAACACAGTCAATCCTTACTATATAAGTTGGCAGAAGGCGGGTTTCGATATAGATGAAATCGATCCCCCTTTTTCTTTCCGAATGAAGGACGTGAAAGACAGGGTACAAACATGACGTGGAGAAAAAGCTTACTGACTTACGAGCAAAAGTGGCGGGGAGCAACCCAGCTTCTTCAGGGATTTGACCTGAAATGGTGGCGATCGTTTGGCTGTGCTTCTGTCTTTGGGGGGACATTGTACCCATGAAGAATTTCTTGGATTTTGGAATATGCCAACACCTGTGAAGGGTCAGCCCCACCACTGCTTTGTGATGCACGTGAACTCTCCTGCAGCTTAATCTTCTCAAATAGATATTGCTTCTCTGCCTCAGCTTCACTTAAACGTAGCTTGAGGTAACTGCTAGCATATTCTTCCTCTGATTTGTCCGTCTTAGCAAGCGCAATTCTCTGCAGCCTCTCAGCCTCTCGCTTTGCCTCATTGGCTTTGAGCTGGAACATGTCAGCCTCTGCCTGCTTAAGCCTCACAATTCTCTCTAGCTCTTCTATCTGTAGCTTCTTTTTTTGCCTGTCTAGCTTTAGTTCTGCCACTTCCTTGGCCTTTTCCTCCAGCTCACGGTCGCATGCCTCAAGAGCCATGCGTGCTTTCTTAAACATTCTCATCTTCTCATCAGCCACCATCTCCATCTTCCTTATGGCCTCTTGCACCACTTCAGCAATTCGGTTGCATGCCTCCTGCGGGGCTATTAGCCTCCCACCCTCCCCATTTTCCAGGCTCCTTGGAGAGTCCACCTCAAGCTCTTCAAAGAGCAATACAGCAAAATAGAATTTTAATTTCATGTAATTGATTTCTACTGAATTTCAAATACCGAATTCAATAATTCAGTTAAGAAGCAATCAGTTCAGGTGGCCATCAAAACAAATTACATACACATGAAACCCATATGTGGACTCCCCACAGGACCATAAGGCCAAGTGTAGAAAAAAGAGAGTGATTACTCAAAAAACTGCAGAGCAACGATGAAGCCTTGAAGCTCAAAGAAACAAGAGACAGATGCTATGATTAGCCTTGCCAATCAGCTTGAACTAAGAGTCTAACAATAGAATGAAGACATCACCTCCAGTCACATTAATAGACTTTCAGCATAAGCATGTCAAAGGTTCTGATCACAGAGAGATATTCTTAGCATGTCTATATAAGGCATGCTCACTTACAGGACAAGCAGACCAAATAAAGTATGATGCAATGATTTACCCATATATGGTAAATGTAGTCCTTTCAACCCACTAATTAAAAACACCGTATAATGGAGCTCTAATAGGTAAAAAAGTCTTTAAACATTGTTATAACGCAACAATACCTTATATATATATATGTGTGTATATGTATATAAGAAAGAAAACTCTATTTGCCTCTGCAAAAAATGGAAACATTCTTTTGACAAGTAAATCATAGGAAACAAGAGAGATAATCACAGGGAAGAATGCATAAAAATCATATATCATGAATCTATAATTATAGATAAAAGTACCAACTCTGTCAAAATACCCTTACTAATTATAATAATCCTAGGTACTTTAGCCATCATAAATACATATTTTAACTCCAAATTCCCTTCAAATAAAAGAGATTATCTTTTAATCTTTTATTCCCTTTCCTTTTTCTACTATTTTTTTTTACTATTAGACCCCTTGAAACCGCACATTTTTTAAAGAATAAGTTGCGATCTCTATACAGCTAAAGAAGAAAAATTGTGTTTGCTTACGTCCTATAACTAAATGCTAGGGTATTCTATCTTCTCATGATCATCACTCTAAGGTACAGATCTTAAGAGAGACTATTTGTGATCTATGAGCTCATCAACAATCAACCCAGGTGGTTTACTTTTCTATTTGCAAACCTTGGGTTTCACATCAGCAAGTAGGGATTTGGTTGTCAAGCACCTTAAGAACCTGAAGACTTTTAAAGATGAGAGATTCCACAATCTTTTGGTAGTTTCTCCCAGAATTCACCATGTCTGCAATATTATAGTCCTGTACTTATTATAAGTTCTATTATCTATGCGTATGAAGCAAGTAGGAGCAATGCTGACACAGAATTTTTTTCTAACAAGACCGAAACTTTTGGTGATTTATTATTTTTCATTCTAAATTTTGGCTGTTTATTAACTATAGAGTTTTTTGTATCACCATCTCTTTTTGTTATAAACTGAACTAATTCAACTCTGTACATCTATGAAATACAGCAGCTATTAGTGCTTGAAAGTAATTGAGCATCCAAAATTCATATGTCTGCTTTACCCATGGCATCCAAGTGATTAGTCAATCACTTTGACAATTCAATTCATTAATTTGTCTCGATCTGCACTATTGGACAAAAAAAAAAATGATTGCATGAATTATATATATGCTCTTAATATGTCTTAAGATATAGTCTTATCTCAAATTTGTCTTGGATGTTACCTTAATGACAGTGAGAGGCATATTCACTGAGACAATATGCATTTTTTATGTTAAACATAGATTATAAAAAAAATAGCATAAAATATATTTGGCTCTAGTTTTATTCAGCTACAATATTAGAAGCTCCAAAGGCTCAAGCAATCTTCGAGAAAAATTTAATATTTTCTAAGGACAATATTTTTATTACAGAAACAAATATAGAGAAAAAAAATAGACAAATTAAGTAGACAAAGATTAATTCAATTTGAAGAACATTTTCTCTATCACATGCAAGGATAGAAGGAATTTTTTTTTTTTTTGGCATAATTCACAACATTGGCTGGATTAAACTACATTTAATTGTATATTAAATGGCATGCACCAAAAGATTAAAAAAAAAAAAACAAAAAAAATTAAAGAAAGAAAGAAAGAAACAATTTGTGTAGCATCATTATTGAAATGGTCAAACAAATTTCATTCAATTGTAATATTTTTTTCTATTTAAATAGGGTGTTGTTTTTAATACAAGACTTAAATGATATATGTCCTCCATACTACGAAAACTATATATAAATATCAGAATAACTTTGGAGTGTTAAAACTTCTATCGAAACTAAAAAGGCTTCAATTCAGTTAATTGATCCACATGAACAAGGAAATAATACTTTTCTAATTCTTCTTTAGATTGGTCGCATATGAAATTAAATTCTTGTGATTGATCTACATCCAACATTAAAATGAAAGGGAAAATGTTTTACACTACATACTTTTTTTTCTTTTCATGGACTACACTACCTCACCTTTCAAAATCGTCATTCTTAACAAAAAAAAAAAAAAACTGCAATTATATGTTTCCCAAAATAGAACTTTCATTAACCTACATTCAAATGTATAAATAGAAATCATGTTTTACTATTTCTTTTATAGTTTGACAACAGTGTTTTACTATCCTTAAGAACTAAGGATCCCCATTCACTAAATTATACCTTTACCAAACCTTTTTTTTTAATCTTGATTTACCTAACATAATTTTTTTTCTTATCTCATATCTCTATTCACTATGCACTACACTTACAACTTATAAGGATTTCAATTCATCAAACATAAGCACAAAAGGTTACACACACATATAAAATTTTGTATAACAAAAAGTTACATGCACACGCGTATAATATGTGTAAAAAGAAATAGTCACACACACACACACAATATCTGTAGAAAGAAATTAGGCGCACACATGTAAAATGGTATTGGAGCTGCTTAGGCACTGCATTAAGCAGCCTGTTGTGGCAAAGTGCACTAATGCTTGAATATTCTTCCAATACTGAAGGAGAGAGGACTATTTATATAATGCTTAGCATAATACATACCTTGGAAGAACATCAATATCACTCTGCAAGCTGTTGACTCTGCAAGTCCACCCTTCATTTTCTCAATAAGTTCTTCGCACTTCCAAAAGAGTTTCCTCCCTCTTGGGTCTTCACTTCCTCGGAAGATTCTACTAACAAAATCAAGTTCCCTTGTTAAAGCCTCTCGTTCCCATGCTGGTGCACAGTGTTGGAAAACATCTTTAACCCACCCCAAGAGCTCAGATGTTCGATTGCAGGCTCGGCAACGGAAAAGCATTTCAGTAGGGCCAGCTCCACTCTTAAAAGATGGGCCCATACAAATTTGTCCATCACGAATAGCACAATCTGTGTGAGTCCAATGAGAACACAAATCACAACCAATCCAACGGCATGTATTCACTTCAAAATCAAACTTGTTACAGATCACACACATGCAGAGATTGCAGAAACCGCTTTTGTTGGCACATATTTCGCAGGTACAGTCATCAGCTGGAAGCTGGTTTTGGCATGCTATATTTCTGCATCTCTTAAACACAAAGACCTCAATCAGGGAAGTTTGGGAGAGACTAATACTTGGATGCAAAAATGCCTGAATTCCAGTGTTTATTGCAACAAGTATTTCTAGCTGTACTCGGTGTGCTCTAATCAAAGTCTTTGCTGTCAAATCAGACCTATTATGAACAAGCTTCTGCAAAATCAGAAATTCCTCTCTGTGCTGTGAACCACCACTTCCTTCAAGCATAACCCGAAGACCATTCTTTAGCTCATCAAGAAAGTCATCAGGTAAATGTTGCATCTTCTCAGAGATTATGTCAACTCGTTCCCCAGCTATGTCACGACAAGAAATCTTATCTGCACCTGAGACGCGACGAATGATGGACTGTCCAGGGCAATCATTATCTGCCTTGTCATTCTCCATCTTCTTTTTCATCATGGCATCAGCAGTAGGCCAAGTTTCTTGTGAACTAGCACTTTCTGTAGGAGATTCACGAATATTATCAGAATTTGATCTTGGTTCCTGTGCGTCAGGGGACAAGTGAAGATCCGAAGACACCAAGGACAGTGATGTTTGTAGTCCAGCTGCACACGGTTGCTGTCGTGGAGGAAGCATTTTTTATGAAGGGTGTTGAATGTTAGAGCCAGATGATGTGCCCATCAATTAGTCATTTCTTCCTGTCATTGTCATAAGGAGCTGTAACACACCATCCATCCATCACCACCTCCTTTTATTATGACTATCATTAAAATTCAAGCTATGGAAATGTGAAAAGAAGTAATAATAATAATTTAGAAAAAAACATCGCCCAAGTATGAAAAAGAGTTCTTCAGTCTAGCACATTTCTGATCCAAATAATATGTAATAATCCTTTTTTTTTTTTTTACAAGAACTCCGTTTTGCTAATAAAAGAGGATTAACTACGATTTCCAGAGGGTATTCATATGATACATATATATATATATATAGAGAGAGAGAGAGAGAGGATTAACTATGATTTCCAGAGGGTATTCATATGATACATATATATACAGCATGATTAATGAATATTGAACATGATCACATAGATAGACTAGATCAGTTACAACTCAGCTAAACCAGAATAAAGCCACACACACCCCATTTTTTTTTTAAAAAAAAAGAATTCAACATCATTAACCAATCAGACTAATTTTTTAAAGAAAAAGAAAAAAAAAAAAACAAAGTTGTAACAAGCAAAAAAAGTTGATAAGAGAAAAGGAGATCCAAAGAAGAGTTGATCTGTTTGGTTACTAAGAAAGTTACAAAAGTCAAACCAAATTTTCTAAGAAAGTTACCAAATCTCACCTCTCGAAGATATTTTTTAAGATAAAAATTGACAGTCAATCAGAAACGTAACCTAGGTTTTAATTCACTGCAAAAAAAAAAAAATCTATCTATTCAACACCTAAACCAAAAACTATAAGAAAAAGCCAAACGTTTCCTCTATCTGTTTTCTCAGCAACCAAACAGAAACTAATGATAAATGGAGAGGGAGGGGGAGAGGGCGTACTGACCTGAAGAAGCGATGGCAAATGGATCGATAAAGGAAGAGAGAAGGCAACCACCATTAATCAATTACGGATTACAAAGAAGAGCTGAGAGATAATTCAAATGACTCTTTTACCATTTTGTCCTCCAGTGTTGAGGCTGCTTGAGCTTGACAAATGCGAGGGGCTCATCCCGCGACTTTCTACGCAGGGACAAGACCGGACAATATGAGATTATCTAAAGCCGGTCTTTTATTTATGACCTTCGCTAATGTCACTGTTTGTGCCTTTGTGGGAGCATTGACTTGCGGTAGACTCTGATTTACACAGCACTTTTTTTTCCCCTACACTAGTCATTGAATAAAAAAATATAAAAATAATGTTTTAATTAAAATATTTTATAACTGTCTTAGACAGCTATATTTAAAACGTGTTTTTAATTTATTTTTTAAAAAAATATTTTTTATTTTTAAAATAATTTTAATATGTTGATATTAAAAATAATTTAAAATAAATATTTTAAACAATAATTACCATCACATCACATCACATTGTAAACTAGTGTTTGGTCTAGCGGTAGAAGGGGTTTGTCTCTTTCCACTGCACCTGGGTTCGAGTCTTGGTGTGCACGCCTGTCATCCCCGCGGTGCCTTATATGCCTACTGGGTTTACAGGATATTCAGTGAGTTGTGGGCTGCGGGGATTACTATAATATATTGATATTAAAAATAATTTAAAATAAATAATTTAAACAATAATTACCATCACATTTTAAAATACTCCCTTAATTAATAGCCACTGCTGTCTTGTTTGTAAGGTGTATGAAATCTTGATTATTAATGTTAACTAAATTGATTAAAAAGAATCACGCAGTAATTTTCATGACGACAAGCGTGCATAATACTGAACCACGATTTCCATGATGGTAGGTAGCTACATTAATATTTAGGTCATAGTGTACAAAATCATTTACATAATATATATGCTCTTTTTTCTATTTTTAATAGTAGATTTATGAGAATTATATTTTATTATATATTTTGATTTTTTTTTTATGTTTTGAAAAAAACATCTTGGTATTGTACTTGGTTTATAGTTATTTATTTTTTATTATATTATTAAATAAAAAATAATTTTAAAAAATTATTATGAATTAAATTTTATGATTTATTCGATTTGTTTTATTTAAAGTTACCATGATTTTAAAAAAACATACTAGCATCATGTTAGTGTTTGGTTTTTTTAATATTTATTTCTTATCATATTATTAAATAAAAAAAATTTCGAATAAAACTTAATATTAGGTATTATATTTCAAAATTTATTTTTTTATAAAATTATCATGATTTTATAAAAAATCTTAATATTTAATTGGTAAATAAAAGCTTGGTACATTAATTTATATTGACCTGGTTGATTAAATAATTCTTCTTCTCCATAAATTTAAATCTAGTGATATAAACTTTCATTAAAAAGGAAAAAAGAAAGAGATAATTTTATAATTGAAATAGCATTACTTCTCTATTCTCACTCATGAACAGGCCCAAAATCATATCAAGTTCCTTTTGAGCGAAGCATTTCCTCATAATTCGCAGCTTCAAAGATACCATAGAAAAAAAGATTAAAATTAGTTAGATAACTTCTCACAAGGTTTAGAAAAACTAGTACAAAATTGTTTGAATAGCTTAACTAATTAGGTTATAAGTTTATTTTTTAATAATTATTAGTTTAAGTTTTTCCAAGACTATTATAAAATTATATAATTTTAAAATTTATAAAATTAATTAAAATACACAAACTAATAGGAAACATTTATATTTATTAAAAAGCAAAAAAAGCAACTTGTGGGGAAGATTATTGGAGTCCACAGCACCTTTCATGAAGCTTATATAACGTGGGAACTAATCAAGCAAAAAAAAAAAAAAAGTGAGCAACCATGAAATATAAAGAACAAGTATGAGCAAGTTTCCATATAGAACAAATCTGTTTAGGGATTGGAGAGTTGAGGGAAGGGAAGGAAAGGATGACATTCTCTTACCAGTTCTCCATCAAAATCATCTGAAATGAGCACCTTTTTAACATAGAGCTTGATGTTTTTTGTTTTGGGATTGACCATGTCATCCTTTTATGTGGGAGCCATTGCTGGCACCTGCAAGAGCAACCTTCACCACCTCAGCATGCAATATAATGAGGTAAATGACAAAGCTTTTGTCACCTCGCTGAAGTATGGAGAATAGCCGCAGAAAATAACTTGGGAGTGTCAAATCTTTACGAGAAGAACATTTTTAACATTAACATATTTAAATAATTTTAAAAAAAATTGGATTAACTAAATTGCCCCTAAATTTGATTAACTAAATTGCCCCTAAATTTAAATTCCCTAAGCCTTGCATCCAAGGCTGTTTTTTCAATGTCTGTAATAAAAATGAGGAACCAATTCTGCCCTTAACTTTCACTCTCGTCCCAAACAAGTATGAAAAAAAAACACGCAACTGAGGTAAAAATGAATATCACTTCGAAAGAAAAAAATCAACCCAGCCAAGGAGCAGCCGTGACAAGACAAGACATTGACCAGAGCAATGGACACAAATTGAGGACCTCAACTTCATCAACACAAAAACAACAAGAAGATCGGAGCTTTACCAATGATCGTAGATGATGGCCTTGAGCAGCAACCGCAAGGTGCTGGCGGGCCTAACAACGGTGATGGAGATGTGTTCTGGTGGGGTCTTTTTTATGATGGCGAGATGGGTGGTCTGTAGAGAAGGAGGCAGCGTTGATGTTGATGTTGATGTTTGTTTTAGCTGGTTGTGGAGTCTTTTATCAATCTAGTACGTCATGTTTTTTTCTAATTAAATTATAAAAAAATATGGTATCTTAATTTTCAATTGGGTTTTTCCAAATGTTTTAAATATTTTGAAAATATAAAAGTAGTCATATGAATATTAGTTAATATTAATTTAATAGTAATTGAATTTAATATTTTATAATAAACATTTCATATAAATTTTTATTTTTGATATAATGCATTCGTTATTTAATACAATTAATTTTATATCCTTCACATGATCAAAAAATTAATATCTTCTTCTAAGTGTAGAAGTTTTGAAGTAATAAATAACTCGGTTAGACCAGGGTTGAATCACAGGTAGGTTAATTGTATAAACTATAAATAAAAAAAATAGATAATAACAGAAAAAAAGTTGAAAAGAGTTTTGAGATGTGATATTAATGTAAGGATCAAATAAGAATAAAATAATTATCAAGGTTAGAGGATTTACTAATAGTATTTGAAATAAGTATAGTATTAACTTCTTTTTACTCAACTGTAAACCATATACAAAGGAGATTCCAATCGGATTATAAATTATTAATATAATTATATTAGTTATGTTATTCGAATGATGTTAATATTTGTAAATGTTGTCAGGTATTCATAATTATAACTTATGTTAACAACAAATCAAGTTTCTTTTATAGCACCGGTGTCGATTATACCATATGGTTGGGCTATGAAAGTGCAAAATATTTATTGTACCAAGGATTATACAACATAAATCTAGATTAACCATTTAACAAGCAAAGTATTAAGAATGAATAAGATAAAAAATACAAAACATGTTAGTATCAAACATTAAAGTCCATGTTGAGTTTATATTATATTTATTCTTACACCATTATTTAAACTTTTTCACCTTGACATGATAAACTTAACTAAATATAATAAAGAAGAGAAATATAAATAAACAAGAGGAGATTATAATTATATAAGTATAGTAAAGAAAATGAAAGACATAAATAAAAGATTAATAAAATCAAAACTTAAGCATTACAAAAATAAAAAGAGAGAGCAAGAACATGATCTTGATCTGAGAACCAAGATGCCTAAAAGCATGCCAAATGCCTCATTTTATAGGCCAAAATTTAAAACTATTAATTTGTTGACTAATTGTTGAGTGAGAGGCCACATCTTGACTTGGTGACAATCCTTATTTCGTGTTTGAACAAAACATCATTACTAACATTAGAATTTGAACAAATTGTCTCATGAAAGTTGTAGGAAATTGTCTCAGCTTTCCAACAAAAAAGAAATCAGTGCATTAGAACTTCTAGAACTTGAGATATGAGTTGAACACTGAACAGTGTCCAGGCTGTAGGACAGATTCAGACTTCTCTTTTGAAGTTAAGATTTGGACTTTTAAATGGAAAAATTGAGTCTTGGACTATCATGAATGTTTTAGGCCTCTATTTTAGCTTTCTAGTCATATAAACCAAACTGAAATCTAAGATCTACAACTTCAAATATGATCTAATGACTGAATAGTGTTTCAGTTTGGATTGAACCAACATTTCTTTTATAAGCTTAGCCTTCTCTTTGTCTTCTCAACTTCAGTAGTTAAACTCATTAATCAATCCTTTCATTTATGTGATAGACCTGCATTTAAAATGAATATTTACCATGAATTAAATGTATCTTATATTTATCAGATATGCTATTATAAAACATGCTCTAGTTAAGCGTAACCCTCCTTTTGTTTTCTCAATTTTCAGTAGTTAAACTCATTAATCAATTCTTTTATTTATGTGATAGACCTACATTTAAGATAAACATTTGCTATAAATTATATGTATCTTATATTTATCAGATATGTTATTATAAAACATGCTCTAGTTAAGGAGTTATTGATACTTCAAATGCAAAATGATGATATAAAACTTGATATTAAGTACTAATTAATCCCCTTGTAACAACAAGAAAGGTTCATTGTGATTTATATTTCCTTGTAATAACAAGAGCTTCTGGAAAGACCCAACTCATTTAGTATCAAGAAATTTATATCACATAACATCTAATACAGTTTTACCTATTATACCTAGTTAATTAGTTGTAGCAAAAAAGGCATAACAAGCAAGAATAGCGACAACAATCGTAAAAAATAAGATCCTTAATTCATCTAAAAGCAGTTGTGCAAACACATGGATTAAACATTCATTTGCTTTTGGCAAGAGCCAAGTAGTTACCATCCTAAAATTCCTCTTAGCAATTACTACTTTAAGCAAGAATCTCAAACTCTACAAAACTTTTTTATAAATATAAATACTCTTAAAAAATCATTTTCTTTTACGATTAAGGCATCAATGCCACAAAAATTAAAATACAACGTGTACCTACTTTTCATAGGTTACCTGATTACAAATAAGACTACTTATCACCAATAAAATCCAATACCAAAATCAACATTTTTTCCTATATAAACAATTGAATTAACAAGTTGATTTTGTAAACTTCTATTTAAAAAATCAAAACTTTATCAATTATACAAAACCCTAAATTAATCCTTATAAAAAAATTAATTTCCTTTCCACTGGATAAGGTTTAAATGAAACCTTTTAAGTCACTAGCTACATCAATTTTAGAAACCAAAAAAAAAAAAATCAAAAGAAACAACTAAATCCAAGCAATAAACAAAAATATAAAACAAACTTATCTTAGAAGATACAAAACTCATGTCAATAAACTCATCAAACTTACAAAACTCAATTATTAGAAGAAAGGTGAGAGAGAGACTTACAATAAAGTAGCTGCAAAGTGAGGGAATGAGTGATTAACTTTTGTTTTGGAATATCACTATTCTCTTTTAGTTCTGATTAGATAGAGCTGAAGTGGTCGGACAGATACAACTCCATCAATAGAAATTGTATAGGACCAACCCGAATAATGATCCAGCCCAAACATCATGTCACAGGCTAAGCAAGATGATTAAACTGTGTCTATTGTTTTTTTTTTCCAAACAATGTGATTTTATAAAAAGAAATTATATAAGAAAAAAAACCCAAATGATTTTGTTTTTGATTTGAATAAAAAAAATTAAAAACCACTTCAAACCTTAATTTTACTAGATCATATAAGACACAAATTAATAGATAAATGGGTGTTAGGAAGTGTGGTAGTAGTTATTTTTTAAAGTATCTTTCGCTTATAAATATATTAAAATATTTTTTTTATTTTTAAAAAATTATTTTTGACACTAACATATCTTAAAATATATAAAAAACTAATTTTAAATTTAATGAAATTCTAGTGTAAACTAAACTCACCTAAGTTTGATTGATCATTTATATAAATTATTTACTTTTGATCCCACAGGTATAAACTATAAAATACACAAGACAGTGTCTTATTTGTTGCTTGAACTTGTTTTTGAAAAGAAAATATTATGTTTTTGAAATGGTTTTTAATAGTTGTGATAATATTAAAAATAATTAAATTTTATTATAAAAAATATTATTTAAAAAAATATTATACATATTATTACCGAACAAACATAAGCTAGATCGCATTAGAGTAACACAAGCTCAGAAATGAAATTGGGCTCCTTTTTTTAACAGGATAAGCACTCTCCAACCTATGAAATTTTACGAGAAATAGCTAAGCCTGTCAAGGTTTCAACTAGTTGGTCTACTTCTGTTTTTCTTTTTCCTCATAGAATTATCATCTTTATTCTTTGATCATGAGATAATGATAAAAAAGAAAAACATGAATGTTAAAAAAAATACATTCCATTCTTTAACTTCCTGCATTTTCAAAGAAGCGAATCCCATCACCAAGCTTTCTCTTTTTTCTAATCATATTGATGTGATTTTTTTTTTATCATTTATTAATAAAGTTGAAAAAGCTAATCAATTCGATTTGATTAAGTTGAAAGGTAATTATTGTTATGATTTTCTGTTGAATGCAAATTATTTTTATTTATGTTAATAAGCTCGAAACAAGGAGAACCATGAAGAAATGAAAAGCTAAGCTGTTTGCTTAGAAGTCGGAACATTTTTAGCAGCTTCTCCGGTATAAACTGGTGTCTCAAATCTGTAACATTGTACACAAAAACATGCTAACTGGAAAACTTTGAAGCATCTGAGGATGGATGGAAATTCGAGACATGTGAAGAAGTGCATGTGATTTGTGAGGTTTACAAGACATATTGCTGTCCTCAGTCCTCACGCCACATCTTCCCACACTTTTCATTCAAGCAGAAGTAAAATGTTGTTGCTGGCTCATCAGCTGATCTAATTTGTATTTGCTGGAAACAGGCCCTCCCGAAGTTGCAATGGGGACATGTTGCTGCCATCAAGAAAGAAGGGAAATCAAACAAAAAAGATAACATGTTGCTGCCATCAAGAAAGAAGGGAAATCTGACAAAAAAGATACAGATTGAGAAAGAACAAGTAAAAAAAATCTGAGTTAGCCTTCATCTACACTGCTAAAATTGAATTCTTTCTACACCAACAACTGAATTCCTCGTATAATTCTCTCCACACCAAGTTAAAACTTTAGAAATCATTCGGAATAGTGGAAATCGAATATCATGGTTTAGTCTTGTCTTGGCAATATATGGACAACATTTCTCTCATTGCATTGTTAACAGGTACAGCTTAACCTTATAAACTCAACTCAACCCTTGCACAACCTATATTAATCCTGGGAACTTGATGCCAACGTAGTTACTTCATTCTAATTCAATTCAAAAACCCTAAAACTATTCTAAGAAAATGTAGAAACAAAAGAAGATCAACAACTTAAAACAATATCAAAGTTTCCAAAGTGGCAAAATATTATAAAAAATTCCTCCATTCCACGACAACATATAATACCAATAACACAAAAAAGACAAGATAAAGAAAAGCACCATCAGTTTCAGCACCGCCTTTCTTCATGTCCTCAAGGGTGAAAATAGGTTCAATTTCTTTCTTAGCAAGCTTTTGCTTTCTCTTTATCTTAACCTAATTACAACAGAGCAGTCAGTCACATCTTTCAATCAAAAATACAAACCAATGAAATAAAGAAGCCAAATTAATTTATACTAATTAATAATTTACCCTGCTCTCAATCGAAGCAAAATAGGGACATGTAGGGCAATAAAATCTAGCTGCTTGCCCCATATTTGGCGGCTCATATCGCAATAACATCCCACATGTTGGGCAAAATTCCATTTCTTTCTTCCTCGTTCTTTGATACCCTAATTTGACTTGTTTCTAAAAGTCAGAACCTTCAGGCCTGAAAACAAATATCAACTTAGAAAAACCTAATTTCAAACACTTCCTAGTAACTATGAAAATTTTCAAAAGTCAGTGTATTTAGGATTAAGATAATAAACTAGCGTATTAAGATAAAATAGTAGCATTGCATGACTTCTAGCATACTTTTTCTAACCAATTAGTTTTTTATAGTTATCAACGCATGCTACAAATTAAACCATGAATCCATCCCAAGATCTAAAATCAACAGTCTTCATTCAAACATAGGAGAAAAAAACAATCGACACAACAAGTTGATCACACTCGAACAACCCACTATCTCGTTCAAAAAAATTCAAAACTTTCAAAACCCAGTAGTTACAATTCAAGCTTAAAAACAAACATCAACTTTATAAATACCTAAATTTTAACCTTCCCTCTAATGGGCCAGCAACAATCTCATAAATCTAGTTACTTTCTAATATATAAAGGTAAAATGAGTACAATTCAAAGCTCAAAAACTGCCTATATCAATGCTTGCAATCAATACAATAAGCACTTGAAATCAATGCTTGTGGACAAAAAATGAACAACATCCACAACGGAACCAAAGTTTCTCAAGTAAAGTTCTGAGAACCAGTCCATTCATCAAATCTCAAATCAATGTTTGTAATCAAAGAAGGAACTAATTCTGCCCTCAACTTTCACTCTCATCCCAAACAAGTATGAAAAAAAACATGCAACTAAGGTAACAATGAATATCACTTCAAAAGAAAAAAATCAACTCAGCCAAGAAGCAGCTATGACAAGACATTGACCAAAGCAATGGACACAAATTGAGGTTAGCCCTCAACTTCATCAACGTAAAAACAGCAACAAGATCAGAGCTTTACCAGTGATCGTAGATGATGGCCTCGAGCAGCAACCACAAGGTTCTAGTAGGCCGAACAACGGTGATGGAGATGTGTTCAGGTGGGGTCTTTTTTATGATGGCGAGAGGGGTGGTCTATAGAGAGGGAGGCAGCGTTGCTGTTAGTTTTTTGTGTTAGCTGGATGTGGAGTCTTTTATCAATCTAATACATCATATGTTTTTTCTAATTAAATTAAAAAAGATATGTTATCTTAATTAGAAATCAATCAAAAAAACCGAACCATGAAAAAACCAATTAAACTAATTAGAATATTTAGAAAAACTTCCAGTTTGGCTCGGTTTCGTAATACTGAAACTGATGAACCACAACCAAACCAAACTAGTTCAGATTAAAAAAAAGAAGGTTCTATAAATAATAATAAAATTACTATATATTCTAAGCTACTAACCCTTGTAGCCGTCCTTCACACAAACACGCCACTCAACCCACACCACACCTCCTCGATCCTCACTGCCTCCCACAGCAACACTCACAACTCACATGTCCACTCATAATTCTTCATTCTTCAATCTTCATTAATGTCATTATGTAATCTTCATCAATCATCATCATATCCAGCAAACCAACCACTAGCCTCTGGTAAAAATTGAAGATAAAATGATGAGTTAAGAGAATAGCTTATTAACAACCTTTGGAATTCCAAAAAAACCAACACCAGCCTCTGAGGTCACTGAAACAACACTGGGGGAACGCCTAGGACCAGCCTCTCAATCACCACTGCCTTCAACATCTAAAACCCACAAAATCAAAGCCATCTTCATCACCAGCAGCCCCCGCAACAGTTATCCTAGGATCATTCAAACGTGGAATCATACACCATTACATATGAATCTACAGCTTGAATTTTTATGTTCATGTTTACAGGCTTGTTTAAGAACACATTTCAAATTCCAGAAATTCTGTTTTGAGGCTTAAACTGCATTGCAGAGACCAATTATCTTTTATGTTTACCAAACAAATTAAAAATAGGACTATTGTCTTGAGGACACAAACCAACTGAGTCTTAATCACTGTTAGCTGACTCAGATGGGGACCTAATTCATTCACAAATTTCAAACACAAGCAAAAGCTTACTAATTATCCCTCACATCCTAATCCAAAACAGACCGTAACAGAGATACATGTATATGTACACACAGACATACATATAACTAAATGAGTTTGTAGATCAAAGGGTGAGAGGGTGAATATTAACATAAAACAATAAAAATACAGAGCACGAAAAACAAACTAGCATTCAATTTTAGATTGTTTAGGCATGCACTTATTAAAACCATTAGCAACATGAATTTACTTACCATGCATTCATCAAATTCTCTAAGGAATCTTATTGTGTCATTTGATGCAAAGGAAGAATGGTCCCTTGTTGCTACTTCTTCCCTTAGCAGTCTGAGTGAAAAATTGATTCTACAGCAAATCCTACTAATATACAGTTGCTATAGAAACAGCCAACTTTCGAAGGATGAACACAACTTTTACAATTATCAACCACTAATACAAAACGCATCAACTGAAAAGGTGCAGCATGTATATGCAAATTCATTTATCACCTTGTGGACATTAAAACTAGAAGTCATGCATTGCAAGAAAGAATCAAACCCATCAAGAGAATTGAAAGAAAGAATCAAACCCTGAACATTTGACAAATCTAAGAATCAGAGAAAGAGAGGAACAGGCAGATCTTTAGTGTATAAACCTTTGCATTTTTTTGGGGGTTTTTTCAAGAAAACGGACAGATCTAGATCCAAGAGAAACTACTACCATGACCATCAAGATTATCACAATGACAACCTCAAAAACAACAGCATGACTAGGACGACCAAACCCAGATACAACATATACAATTATTACCGTCACCGTGGACAAGGAGGCAACAAGATGTTCAACAACAACAGGTTTTCAAGAACCCGACAACAGCAGCAACCACAGCAGCAAGACCAATCATCGTCATTAATGGTGACAACAAGTTACATAATTTTATGTCATGATATGAAAGCAGGAGTAGTTGGGAAGTCGGGGAGTTTAATAAAGTCAATTAGGCATTTTATCGAACTCTTTGCCTACAATCCAAATTCAACCATCAAAACAAAGAATAACTCAAACCCACTATCTATTTATCCAAAAGAGGACGAATAAAACATAAACAGAACCTCAACAAAGACTCTCATCACTTACCCTCAAATCTTCATCAAAATTGAAGTAAAAACAAGAAACCCGAATCCAACCCACTTTAATTTAAAAGAAATTTCAAATTTTAAGATTGAAAATAAGAATTTTTGAACTTCAAGGGCTGACATGGTACCTTATGTAAACTTCAATAGGAATAAAATTTACCTTGCCGTCTTTTCTCTAATGAAGGAGCTCTCTCCTTCCGCTGCAACTTGCAAGAATAGAGGAGGATCGACGGCTTGCGCAGAAGTAAAGAGAGAGAAGCCAGTGAGATGGAGAGGTGGGTTTGTGTTCGGCTAGAATCTAAATAATGTGGGACTTGGGGGTGGCTCAGCTTTTGAGTTTTGAGATGGAGACAGACGCAGAGCAGATAAAAGGGAAAGGAAGAACGTGAAAAATATTATCTGGGCGGCGGCTTTTTGTGAGGGCAAGGCGTGGTAAACTTCAGTATTTAAGGGGGGTTATTTTAGGGCGTGGTAGACTTCAGTTTTTAACTATTTATACCCCTCTTGATTTTATAGCCTCGGAGCCAGTGGCCGGAGCTGATTGGATCACTTTTATCCAATATTCATAAGTTACCTGCTCATGTCAAGCAAGCTACTTTAGAGACTCTTGGATAATTGTGCGGGGTTGTCTAATCTGATGTTGTAGCTCAAGACGATGTAAACAAGATACTTAAAGCTGTAGTTCAGGGCATGAACGCATCTGAAGGAAACAACGATGTTAGGCTTGCTGCAACACGAGCACTGTACAATGCACTTGGATTTGCTCAGGCAAACTACAGCAATGATATGGAGCGTGATTATATCATGAGAGTGGTCTGCGAGGCAACTTTGGCCCCAGAAATGAAGATAAGACAAGCTGCTTATGAGTGTCTTGTCTCTATTTCATCAACATGCTATGAGAAATTGGCTCATATTCAGGATATCTTTAACATCACGTCAAAGGCCGTGAGGGAAGATGAAGAACCTGTTGCCCTTCAAGCAATTGAATTCTGGAGTTCAATATGTGACGAGGAGATAGATATCTTGGAAGAATATGGGGGTGATTTCACTGGGGATTCTGATATTCCTTGCTTTTACTTTATTATGCAGGCTCCCCCTGCTTTGGCCTCAATGTTGCTGGAAACTCTCCTAAAGCAAGAGGAGGATCAGGATCAAGATGAAGGAGCTTGGAATATTGCAATGGCTGGTGGAACATGCATTGGTTTGGTTGCAAGGACTGTGGGAGATGATATTGTGCAGCTTGTTATGCAATTCATTGAAGATAACATTACAAAACCATATTGGAGGCATAGAGAGGCAGCTACTCGTGCATTTGGCTCGATCTTGGAAGGTCCTTCCCCTGAGAAACTAACGCCTCTTGTTAATGTTGCTTTGAACTTCAAGCTGACTGCTTTGACAAAGGATCCAAATAACCATGTGAAGGATACAACTGCTTGGACCCTTGGTCGAATCTTTGAATTCCTCCATGGTTCAGCTGTGGATACACCGAGAGTTACTCAAGCAAATTGCCAACAAATTGTCACTGCACTACTCCAGAGCATGAAGGACGTTGCCAATGTAGCAGAGAAGGCATGCGGTGCCCTCTATTTCCTTGCCCAGGGTTATGATGAGGTGACCCCATCATCTCCTCTTACTCCTTACTTCCAGGAAACTGTCCACGCACTTCTCACTGTTACCCACGGAGAGGATGCTGGGGAGTCCCCATTAAGGACTGCTGCGTATGAAACGTTGAATGAGGTGGTGAGATGCTCGACTGATGAAACAGCACCAATGGAGCTGCAACTGGTTCCTGTCATCATGACGGAGCTTCACAATACTCTTGAAGGGCAGAAGCTTCCTTCTGATGAGAGAGAGAAGCAGGGTGAATTGCAAGGGCTTTTCTGCGGTTGCTTACAGGTCATAATTCAGAAGTTAGGCTCCTCTGAGCCAACTAAGTATGTGTTCATGCAATATGCAGATCAGATAGTGGGGCTTTTCCTGAGGTTCTTTGCTTGTAGAAGTGCAACTGTGCACGATGAGGCCATGTTAGCCATAGGAGCCCTTGCGTATGCAACTGGTCCTGATTTTGCAAAATACATGCCAGAGTTTTACAAGTACCTAGAAATGGGCCTTCAGAATTTTGAGGAGTACCAAGTCTGTGCTGTGACTGTCGGTGTGGCGGGTGATATTTGCAGGGCATTGGAAGATAAGATTTTGCCTTACTGTGATGGTATTATGACTCAGCTTCTCAAGGATTTATCAAGCAACCAGTTGCATAGATCTGTCAACCCTCCTATTTTCTCTATCTTCGGCGACATTGCCCTGGCAATAGGAGAGAATTTTGAGAAGTACTTGATGTATGCCATGCGAATGCTGCAGAGTGCTGCAGAGTTGTCTGCCTACACAGCTGTTGCTGACGATGAAATGAGTGAATACACAAATTCGTTGAGAAATGGAATTTTGGAGGCATACTCTGGAATTCTTCAAGGGTTTAAGAATTCTCCTAGAACTCAGCTCTTGATTCCTTATGCACCTCACGGCTCACATCCTGTAGTTCTTGGATAGCATGTACATGGAGAAAGACATGTGAGTGCTTCTGAAATATACTTTTTATCTTCTGTTTTTTATAGTTCTTATTTGTGTGTGCATGTATGCACGTGTGTTATGTATAAAATGCGTGTGTTATCTGGTTAATGACTTGTAAGCTGCTTGTCTGCAGGGATGATATCGTTATGAAAACTACAATTGGAGTCCTGGGAGATTTAACAGATACACTGGGAAGTAACGCTGGCTCTTTGACACAGCAATCTCTTTCTAGCAAAGAGTTTTTAAATGAATGTTTGTCTTCTGATGAGCATATGATTAAGGAATCTTCTGAATGGGCCAAGATGGCCATCAGTCGTGCCATTTCTGTTTGAGGTTATTGCTATTTGGCATGTTCTTTTCTTTTAGAAGTCCCTGCATGCATTTGGGTGTATTGAGTCGGGGTCCGGGGTTGCATTTGTGTCGGGGTTGCTATTTTCAGACAATGGGGTCTTCAGGTTGTCCCGAACTGTTGCATCAGCACCTCGAGTTTGGGTTCTCGATTTTGTCATGGAGGAGAAGGGGGTGGGATTGCATCTGTCTATTTACGTCTTCTTTCCAGCTTATTTTTTAGTTTTGAATTGTTTTAATTAAAATTTTAATTAATTACCAAACTTTCATATTTATACAAATAAAATAAACTTTTAAAAATTATAATTTAACTAAATTTTAATTATTTTTAATTAAAATTTAAATTGACTTCAAAATAAATTTTGCTTATAATCAAATATTCTATAAATTAAACTAATCTTGTTTGCCTCCATATCTATTTTTTTTTTCTTTTCTTCTTCTTCTTCTTCTTCTTTTTTACTTTAAAAGGATCATGAAAGCCGAAATATGAGGATAAAAAGGATTGCTCATTAAAATGTTGTTTGGTACTACGGAAAAAAAGAGATCTTGGAGATGGAAAAGAACACCCACTACTGTATAAATAGTTAGTACACAGAATGGTTGACAATCTATTCCATCATGCTTCCCACTGGGTTTTCCAGTGAGACGGTAGATACTAGACTTGGTCATCCTCAAACGCATTGTTTCGAGAAAAAATAAATAAATTAGGGCACTTTGTTAAAAAAATAGTTAAATTTCCTAGTTAACCTTAATGCATTACAAGTAAAAAATAAAAATAAAAATAAAAATAAAAATTCTTTAAAAAACTCTGCATGTAATACTATAAAGACACTTAATGCATTATAATATATAGTTTAATAGTCAACTTTGATTAAGGGATTAACTTATTATTTTCAAAATCAGAAGGACTAATTCACAGAATAATTAAAAAGGGAATTAAATTATAATTTTCTCAAAACAAAAATGTTTTGTCCTTGTGAGCCTGGGACTTTTGTAGAGACCCAAATCAGTCACTAGCAACTCATATTTTACCCTCTAACAAATGGGGCAAAGTCCATTTATGATGTATCCATGGAATTGAAATAAATGGAGGATAGCCATTTGTATAGAGTTTATAAGATTTTATTAAAAATGTGCTTTTGCTGCCCTTTCCTGTTAAGCTTTTAGAAAAAGTTTTGCAAGGAAAAAAAATCTAATTTTCTGAATGGACTGCCCTGACATAAGCTTTTTTTTTAAAAAAGAAAAAAATTATTTCTAAAAAATTTTAATTGATCAAATAAATACTGGGAAATTCCTGAAAATTGAATCATGCTTTTCTTTCATCAGGGCATCATATTTATCTAGAAAAAGATTAATAAAACTTCATATCGATGAGCTAGGAAAGTTCTCCCAGTACTTTTTGAGAACACTTGGTATAGAACAGGTGAATGCTGCATGTGTCCTAGCTGAAGCTTCTTTTTTTCTGTCTTACCATTGAAATAGTCGAGGATATATGCTGAAACATAAATGATCTAGGATTAAAGATGCAGATAGCACATGAATTCATTCTTTATGCGAATCCTTCGACATAATAGCGAAAGGAGATGGTCTGTTTTGGGTAGAAGTTAAATACAAACATGAAACCAAACACCATCTAACATGCAGCGAAAGAGTAATCAACAGAATTCGGCTATAATTTTAGCAGCTTCTCCTGTATAAACTGATATCTCAAATCTGTAACATTGTACACAAAAACATGCTAACTGGAAAACTTTGAAGCATCTGAGGATAGAAACTCGAGACATGTGAAGATGTGCGTGTGATTTGTGAAGTTTACAAGACATATTGCTGTCATTAGTCCTCACGCCACATCCTCCCACACTTCTCATTCAAGCAGAAGTCAAATGTGTTGTTG